GTGAGAGATAGCCTAGCTATTGGGATCAATGACCCTAATATTTTGAGTCAAGTTTTTTAAAGATGACATTTCGGACAGCAGATTTCCCAAACTTTCCCACTGGTGGGAAAGGTAAGCTGATTTAGAAGGTTTCATAACCAAGAGACATAAGAGGTCCTGGATAACTAAGAGTTTATGGGGCAGCAACCATCGCTTCTCTCTCCCCTTCACATAGGGGAAGAGGATGATTTGACATTAGCACTTCACTCCCCTTTCTACAAGACTGAGGGCACCATATATCCTGTTGTCAATAAGTTGGGAAATAGTGACAATCTCTTTTGACATTTGCTATGCTACTAGACCTGCCAGCACCTCACTTTCCTGAGACAAGGAGAAAGAAGCATGACAAAAACAGGGAAGCAGGAGAAATCAAGATGGCGGCATAGGTAAACACTGGAAACTGCTGCCTCCCACAACAAATCCCAAAATACAACTAAAAGACGGAATGGACATCATCCAGAACCACAGGAAGGCTGGCTGAGTGGAAATTCTACAACTAGAAGGAAAGAGAAAAGCATACCGAGATTCAGAAGAGGAGTGGTGCGGAAGTAAAATACAAAGGTGCAGAGGTGCATGCGGAGAGGGCTGCTGGCTGAGGACACAGTTGTTGTTTTCAATCGGGAGGGAGTCTCAAGCTCTGAGCTCCAGTTCCGGGCGAGTCTCTGGGGACCCAGACTTACACGGGAGAAACGGGACTGTCTGGCATCAGTCAGAACTCGAGGGAAGCTTTCTCTCGGAGGTGCTCGCAGTGATTGCCGGGGCCTCTGAGGGTAGGACTGAGAGCAGCCATAACTGCTCGCTCCACCCTGTTGATCCCCTGGAACCCAGCCCCACCCAAGGCTTTTGCATATGAAAGGCCCTGCCCTTTGTAATCTGAAAATTACTTAACAAACTGCAGCTGGCCCAAGGCCCTAGGGCAACTTGCATTGCTTCACAGCTGGCTTCTGCTGAGTAGCCTCAGGCAGAGGCTAGATTAGCACCTCCTTAGAGATCCAGGAGTCAGTTCTCCCACTGCAGAAACAGTGGATTCTCACAGTCAATTGGCCTGGAGGTCAATCCCTCCCAATGTTACCTACAACAATCAAGGCTTAGCTACAACAAGACTGTGCACAAAAACCACAAGGGGGTGCACCAAGAGTGTCTACCTCAGGTAATTGGGGAGGCTGAGCCACTGGGCCCTATAGGACACTTAGCAGAGAAAGCCACTCTATCAACACAGTGAAGCATAAAAAATGCCGAGACAAAGAAACAGGACACAAATGACAGAAATGGAGGAAAGCAAACTACTGGATATAGAGTTCAAAACAACACTTTTAAGGTGTTTCAAGAATTTTTTAGAAACCGCCCATAAACTTAATGAGACCCTCAAGAAATTTAGTGAGACCTTCGACATTGTGATAAAGGACCAACTAGAAATTAAGCATGCACTTACTGAAATAAAGAATATTATACAGACTCCCAACAGCAGACCAGAGGATCGCAAGAATCAAGTCAAAGATTTGAAATACGAAGAAGCAAAAAACACCCAACC